GTTCCCCTGCCCGACCCTCTTGTGCAGCCTGGAGCATGCCGGTTGCCTGTGACCCCCCCTCGGAGGTGGCTGCTGTTCAGGGCAGTGGCACATCTAGGGCCCAGAAAGAGAAACGCAGCCCACCACCTTCCCCCCGCCACTGAAAGGCAGCCACCTCTGGGGTGGCACGTGGCAGCTGTTAAACCGCACCCAGGAACAGCGGACGGGACCGGTCCGTGGAGAGGGATCGTGTGTGGGCGTGGCTCTCCGGGGGCGCTGGGGGACATTGCGCACACCCCTCCGATCAGGCAGCCACGCAGTCCTGTGCCCCGCCGGGATCGGGCCCTCGCGGGTGACAAATTCACATCCGTGGAGAGGGATCGTGTGTGGGCGTGGCTCTCCGGGGGCGCTGGGGGACATTGCGCACACCCCTCCGATCAGGCAGCCACGCAGTCCTGTGCCCCGCCGGGATCGGGCCCTCGCGGGTGACAAATTCACACCCACGCCCGACGGGAGTTTGCCCAAACCAGCTCCTCCTTTGCTCTACATCTCTGCAGCCCCCAAAGGTTTTACCCCCAGCCGCCCCCCCTTCCAGACCCTCGCTCTGCCTCTCCCTGCCCCACTCGCCAGCTCAGCTGTCCTGCAGGGAGGGGGCCGGCTGTGGGGGTTATGACCCTGCATGCCCCCCCTTCTGGTCTAGCAGATAGGGCGGTGAGGACACAGGCATGACGACACGCTCCGCGTGTGCATGCTTAGAAACATGATAGCCCCCCCCCCCCAGCCACAAAAACCCCCTCCCTGGAAAAAAGTCTCCCACGAGGGGTCCTTCATCAGTACAGAAACCCAGCACCGATGCCTCTGGCTTTGCTTGCACCTCCCTTCCCTAGCAGATCCCTCGCGCAGATAGGGCGGTGAGGACACAGGCATGACGACACGCTCCGCGTGTGCATGCTTAGAAACATGATAGCCCCCCCCCCCCAGCCACAAAAACCCCCTCCCTGGAAAAAAGTCTCCCACGAGGGGTCCTTCATCAGTACAGAAACCCAGCACCGATGCCTCTGGCTTTGCTTGCACCTCCCTTCCCTAGCAGATCCCTCGCGGCGGTTCAGGCTGCTGAAAAGCAGACCCCCGGGGCCCCGCCCCCCCCCTCCCCCCCCCCCGCCCCCCGCCAGCCTCATCCACTGCTGCTGGCTGCCGGGCGGCCCCTCAGTTGGGGGAGAATGTGGGCAGCAAAGGGGGCGCCTGTGCAGTCCCTGCCGGAGGGGTGGGGGGTTATTGGGGGTGGGGCCAGGTCTGGAGGGCCCCCCCTTGCCAGCCCCACTCAGGCAGCAGCCTGTTGAGCCGACCAGCCCCCGTTTGTGTTCGTAAATC